ACCTTCGCCCGGCTAGTTTTGTGTGATTTTTTAGTCAGTAGAGACGGGGTTTCACTTTTTTAGCAATTTTTGTGAATTATATTCCGGTTGGTCCCAAGTGTGGATAAGTGCTTTAGCGGCCGGCGGCATATGTTAGCCTTATTGTTGAGCGCAATGTTGAATGTTTTTTTTAGGTTTTTTTTTTGTCTCTTCGAATAATTATCATGATAGATCCTCTTGAATGCTAATCGGAATAATCTGTCTGCCTATTATCTTTGATATTAATAGATTTAACCCTGTTTGAAAGATGTCATTACTAAGTTTCTCAGAGTGAATGGTTTAATAAGATGACGCTCTTGAAGTATTCATTGCCTCTTTGCTGTTTTCTTGGGAGTAACTACATGAACAAAAACATCAAGGCTAATTTAGTGTCTCTCTTAGTGATTATAGTATATATGGCTTTGTTATTGTTCTGACAAGTTCGGACGAGGACTGTATGTGAATATGAATCCAAGTATTTTTTTTTTTTTTTTTGAGACTGTCTCACTCCATAGCTCATGCTGGAGTACAGTGGTGCAATGATGGTTCACTGTAGCCTCGACTCCTGGGCTCAAGAAATCCTTATGTCTCCACCTCCCAAGTAGCTGGGACTACAGGCACGTGCCACCACGCCTGGCAAACTTTTAAATTATTTGTAGAGACAGGGTCTCACTGTATTGCCCAGGTTGGTCTCAAACTCAACTCAAGCGATCCTTCTGCCTTGGCCTCCCAAAGTGCTAGGATCACAGGTGTGAGCCACTGCACCCATGCAACTGCTTGCCTGCCTCCCTTCCTGCCTGCCTTCCCTCCCTCCCTCCCTCCCTCCGTCCCTCCGTCCGTCCTTCCTTCCTTCCTTCCTTCCTTCCGTCCTTCCTTCCGTCCTTCTTTCCCTTCTTGACGAGTTTTGCTCTTGTTGCCCAGGCTGGAGGGCAAGGCACAATCTCAGCTCACCGCAACCTCCACCTACCGGGTTCCAGTGATTCTCCTGCCTCAGCCTCCCGAGTAGTGCTTGCCACCACCATGCCAGCTAATTTTGTATTTTTTGGTAGAGATGGAGTTTCTCCATGGGTGGTCAGGCTGGTTCTGAAACTCCTTGACCTCCAGGTTGGATCCACCCGCCGCTTGCCTCTCCAAAGTGCTGGGGATTACAGGAGTTGACTAGCCGCACCTGGCACACCTGCTTTATTTCTTAACCTTTCTCTCATACATTTTTATTTTTCTCATCTTTCCTGTGGCATTCAGAGTTTTCCAACACCAGTTATTTGCTTATTACTTTATTAGCTGTATGTATTTAATTATTCGTTCACTCAATTTATATTGAGCAATTATTTTATTTCTTTATTTATTTTTTTTGAGACGGGAGTTCTGCTATTGTCGCCCAAACTGAGAGTGGCAGTGCTGGAATCTCAGCTCACTGCCAAGCTCTGCCTCCGGGTTACGCCATTCTCCTGGCTTTCCAGCTCCCCGAGTAGCTGGACGTACAGGCGCGCCCGCACCTCGCCCGACTAGTTTTTTGTATTTTTTAGTAGAGGACGGTTCACCGGGTTAGCCAGGATGGTCCGATCTCCTGACCTGTGATCCGCCCGTCTCGGCTCCCCAAAGTGCTGGGATTACAGCTGAAGCCACCCGTGCCCGGCCGCAAATTATATTTTTCATAACAAATTGCCTCAACTGGTTCTTCCTCAAAACACCTTTTTTTTTTTTGAGACAGAGTCTCGCTGTGTCACCCAGGCTGGAGTGCAGTGGCATGATCTCATCTCACTGCATCCTCTCTCCACCTTGCAGGTTCAAATGATTCTCCTGCCTCAACCTCCTGAGTAACTGGCATTACAGGCATGTGCCATCATACCCAGCTAATTTTTTTCTATTTTTAGTAGAGATGGGTTTCACCATGTTGGCTAGGCTGGTCTCGAACTCCTGACCTCAAGTGATCTGCCTACCTTGGCCTCCCAAAGTGCTGGGATTACAGACATGAGTCACTACCCCTGACTAAAACAACTTTTCAATATTATCCGTATCTTTCTGAGAAGATCTATGTTTAATTTCAGTTCTTCTGCTCCTTCTGGTATAGACTGTTCTATTTATCAGGGTACCTGTATTTCTCCAATCTCTGGTGAGTTTTATCTGTTCTCTTACCTTTTATTCCCTTGGGACTCTCAGTTGCTTTGGCTGGTAATGTATAACTAGGAGGACCGAAGCCTGAGCCGTAGTTTTCCTTTCTGTAAATGAATTTAGGAGGTCAAGGTTAGCCTCAGGGTTCAGCCTCTCCCTTTTGCTCTCTGCTGTCGTCTCTGGCTCCAGGAAACCTCCTAGCACCAACCCTACGGACTCTGCCTTTCTCTGAGAGCGGCCATCCCAAGAAGTTCTAGGATGCCAAACTCATGGAGTTGATGGGGCGTGGTTCTGGAGCAACTGTTTATTCCCTATCCAGCCCTGGCTCTGGTGAGGCCATTACCCACGGGAGTCAAAGGCCAAGCAGTTAAATCTCTTGGGCATTGTGTATAGATAGGAGTAGATGCTGCTAGAAAACCCCCTTCCCTTGGCCAAGTGCGGTGGCTCACGCCTGTAATCCCAGAATTTTGGGAGGCCGAGGTGGTTGGATTAGCTGAGGTCAGGAGTTCAAGACCAGCCTGGTCAACATGGTGAAACCCCATCTCTACTAAAAATACAAAAAATGAGCCAGGCATGGTGGCAGGCACATGTAATTCCAGCCATTCGGGAGGCTAAGGCAGGAGAATCGCTTGAACCTGGGGAGGCAGAGGTTGCAGTGAGCCGGGATCGCGCCACTGCACTCCAGCCTGGCAACAGAGTTAGACTCTATCTCATAAAAAAGAAAACCAGGCCAGGCGTGGTGGCTCAGGCCTGTAATCTCAGCCCTTTGGGAGACCGAGGTGGGCGGATCACGAGGGCAGATCATGAGGTCAGGAGATCGAGACCATCCTGGCTAGCACGGTGAAACCCCATCTCTACTAAAAATACAAAAAATTAGCCGGGCATGGTGGCAGGCACCTGTAATCCCAGCTACTTGGGAGGCTAAGGCAGGAGAATGGCGTGAACCCATAAGGTGGAGCTTGTAGTGAGCCAAGATCGCGCCACTGCACTCCAGCCTGGGCGACAGAGCAAGACTCCATCTCAAAAAAAAAAAAAAAAAAGAAAACCCCTTTCCCTCCAGCTCCCCACAACTCAACCCCCTTGATCCCTCCCGGGGGCTCCTCACAGGCTTGTGTTGGCTGAACTGGGCTCTTGAGGGTCTATCAGTGTATCTCCCCTGTGGTGGTCCATAGTGGTGTGCCGTCTTCTAGCATAGATTTGTTAGTTTAGGAAAAATGGAAAAGAGAAAAACACCATGAAGGAGACGAGAGAGTGGGACATGGCTGCTGGGACAGTAAGTTGGCACCAACTTTGTACAGGTCACATTAGTCATATGTGTATATATATATATATCCACTTTCAAAATACCTATTATTTCAATATAGAAGTTTTACCTTTAGGAATTTATCTTCAGGAGATATGCTGTATTCAAGGTACTTCTACAATGTTGAGTGTTATGGCATTATTCATAATATTTAAAAATCTTGAGGCCAGGCACGGTGACTCACACCTGTAATCCCAGCACTTTGGGAGGTCGAGGCAGGTGGATCACCTGAGGTCAGGAGTTCGAGACCAGCCTGGCCAACATGGCAAAACCGTGTCTCTACAAAAATACAAAAATTAGCTGGGTGTGGTGGCACCCATCTGTAATCTCAGTTATTCAGGAGGCCGAGGCTGGAGAATCGCTTGAAGCCAGGAGGTTGAGGCTGCAATCAGCCAAGATCATGCCACTGCATTCCAGCCTGGGCGACAGATTGAGACTCTATCTCAAAAATAATAATATTTTTAAAAGCTTGACCAGATACAGTGACTCATGCCTGTAATTCCAGCACTTTGGGGGGCCAAGGTGGGAGGATCACTTGAGGTCAGGAGTTCTAGACCAGCCTGGGCAATGTAGCAAGATATCGTTTCTACAAAACATTAAATTAAATTTAATTTAAAAATTATTGGGTGGAGGGTAGCAGGAGGAAGAGGATCGGCAAAAATAACTAGGGTACTAGACTTAATACCTGGGCGATGAAATAATCTGTATAACAAACCCCCGACACAAGTTAACATATGTAACAAACCTGTACATGTACCCCTGAACTTAAAATAGAAGTTAAAAAAAAAAAATTAGGCCAGTTGCAGTGGCTCACTCCTGTAATCCCAGAACTCGGGAGGATCTCTTGACACCAGGAATTTGGGACCACCTTGGGAAACAGAGTGAGACGTTGTCTCTACAAAAAAATAATTAGCCTGGTGTGGTGCCACATGCCTGTAATCCCAGCTACTTGGAAGGCTGCGGTGGGAGAACTGCTTGAGCCCAGGAGTTTGAGACTGTAGTGAACTATAATCATGCCACTGCACTCCATCCTTGGGGATAGAGTGAGACCCTGTCTCAAAAAAGTAAAAAAATAATAAAAATTATAAGCAAAGTAAAAATGATTGTACATAATTCACTAAGTGATTGTGCACCCATACCTTGTAAAGCCTTGTAACTGTGATAAAAGATGTTATCACTGGGCATGATAATGCTGTCCTATAGACCCAGCTACTCAGGAGGCTGAGACAGGATAATCACTTGAGCCCAGGGGCTGGAGGCTGTAGTGTGCAACGATGGTGCCTGTGAACGGCCACCGCACTCCAGCCTGGGCAACATAGCGAGACCCCATCTTTTTAAAAAAAAGAGAGAGATTTTGGTAGCATTATTCATTGGGTTAGGAGAATGTTTATAGTATGGTGAGTGGGGAGGAGAAGCAAGTTTATGCTGTATTAAGACTCTTTTTCTTTTTTTTTCTCAAGCCAGTCTTGCTCTGTCGCCCAGGCTGGAGTGCAATGACGTGATCTTGGCTCACTGCAGCCTCCACTTCCTGGGTTCAAGTGATTCTTCTACTTCAGCCTCTTGAGTAGCTGGGACTACAGGCAGCTGCCACCATGCCCGGGTAATTTTTGTATTTTTAGTAGGGATGGGGTTTCGCCATGTTGGCCAGGCTGGTCTTGAGCTCCTGACCTCAGGTCCTCAGGTGATCCACCTGCCTCGGCCTCCCAAAGTGCTGCGATTACAGGCGTGAGCCACCGCACCCGGCCTATTATGACCCTTTTTCACACAAATATATGTTGATATTGTGGCTAGTCATATAGATGATTTTCTTTTTCTGTATTTTCAGAATTCCCTATAGCGAATATAAATTTTGTATCAACAACACAGAACTATTAAATATAAATGAGGTATCAGAAAAAAGTGATGATAAACCCGAAAATTGGCGTCAGTGCTATATGAAACTGTGCATCAGATACATTGCCACGTCCTTTTTGAAAGCAGTGAGACTCCAAAAAAAACCTGTAAAAGTAATGGTAGGTGTGGTGGCTCACGCCTGTAATCCTGGCACTTTGGGAGGCCGAGACAGGTGTATCACTTGAGGTCAGGAGTTCAAGACCAGCCTGGTCAACATAGTGAGACCCTGTCTCTACCTAAAAATACAAAAAATTAGTTGGGTATGGTGGCACACGCCTGTAATCCCAGCTACTTGGGAGGCTGAGGCAGAAGAATCACTTGAACCTGGGAGGTGGAGGTTGCAGTGAGCCAAGATTAAGCCAGTGCACATCAGCCTGGGCATCAGAGCGAGACTCCATCTCAAAATAAAATAATAAAATAAGATATGATAAGATAAAATAACATAAAAGAATCAGACCAGGCACAATGGCTCACACCTATAATCCCAGCACTTTGGGAGGCCCAGGCCTTGCAGTGGAGCTTGCAGTGAGCTGAGATGGCACCACTGCACTCCATCCTGGGTGACAGAGTGAGACTCAGTCTCAAAAAATAAAATAAAAATTAGCCAGCATGTTGGCATGTGGCTATGGTCCCAGCTACTTGGGAGGCTGAAGTGGGAGGATCGCTTGCACCTGGGGGTTCAAGGCTGCAGTGAGCTATGATTGTACCACTGCACTCCAGTCTGGGTGACACAGCAAGACCCTGTTCCAAAAAAAAAAGAATAGAAATAAAAGATGCAAAACTAAATGTCCAGTATTTGGGAAGTGATTAAATGAATCATGGAAATATTAAGCAACCATTAAAAATGTTGATGGGGTACAGTGGCTCACATTTGTAATCCCAGCACTTTGAGAGCTGAAGCAAGTGGATCCCTTGACGTCAGGAGCTTGAGACCAGCCTGGGCAACATGATGAAATCCTGTCTCTACAAAAATTAGCTGGGTATGGTGATGTGCACATGTGGTCCCAGCTACTCAGGAAGGCTGGGGTAGGAGGATCACTTGAGCCCGGGAGGCGGAGGTTGTAGTGAGCCGTGATTGTGCCACTACACTCTAACCTGGGTGACAAAGCAAGACCTTGTTTCAAATTAAAAAAAAAAAAATTATGTAATATATGTAATAGTAAAGTGTTTGCAATTACATCGAAATTATATCTGAAAGATGAAGGAAAGGACACAGGGACCCATAACTGCAGTTGATTTACTCCAGAGGTAAGATTGAGTTATTGGCCGGGCGCAGTGGCTCGCGCCTGTAATCCCAGCACTTTGGGAGGCTGAGGCAGGTGGATCACAAGGTCAGGAGGTTGAGACCATCGTGGCTAACACACTGAAACCCCGTCTCTACTAAAAAATACAAAAAATTAGCCGAGTGTGGTGGCGGGCGCCTGTAGTCCCAGCTACTCGGGAGGCTGAGGCAGGAGAATGGCGTGAACCTGGGAGGCGGAGCTTGCAGTGAGCTGAGATCCGGCCACTGCACTCCAGCCTGGGCGACAGAGCGAGACTCCGTCTCAAAAAAAAGCAAACAAAAATATTGAGTTATTAACAAAAATTATGTTACTAATACAATGCATCTACCAGAAATGTATAAAAAGTATGAACTGGTAAATTTGAGGCTACTCAGATTTAAACTTTTGGCTTTTGGGATGCTCTCATTTTCATATGCTTGGATTTACTCTGGGCTGTTTTTTTTTTTTGAGATAGGGTCTAACTCTGTTGCCCAGCCTGGAGTGCACATAGCTCACTGCAGCCTTGAACTCTCAGGCTCAAGCAATCCTTCCAACTCAGCCTTCTCAGTAGCTGGGACCATTGGCATGTGCCACCATACATGGCTAATTTTTTATTTTTTGTAGAGATGGGGTCTTACTATGTTGCCCAGGCTGGTCTCAAACTCCTGGGCTCAAGCGATCCTCCCACTTCAGCCTCCTCAAGTGCTGGGATTACAGGCATAAGCCACTGTGCCTGGCCCTTTGGCTTTCTTGTTGCAAGCTGGTGCTTACCTGCCCACTGTGGTTGCCCTGCACTTATAACCTATATCTTTCTCGAAACAAATGTTATAGGTAAAAATAGACATGGGGTGATCATTTTGTTTTTTGTTTTTTTGCTTGTTTCTTTTTGAGACGGAGTTTTGCTCTTTTGCCCAAGCTGTTATAAAGTAGCAGAATCTCGGCTCACTGCAACCTCCACCCCACAGGTTCAAGCAATTCTCCTGTCTCAACCTCCAGAGTAGCTGGAATTATAGGCACATGCCACCACGCCAGGCTAATTTTTGTATTTTTATTATTTATTTATTTATGGTTTTATTTTTATTTTTTTTTAGATGGAATCTCGCTCCGTAGCCTATGCTGGAGTGCAGTGGTGCCATCTTGGTTAACTGCAACTTCCACTTTCAGCAGTTCTTCTGCCTCAGCCTCCCAAGTAGCTAGGATTACAGGCACGTGCCACCACACTTGGCTGCTTTTTGTAGTAGTTTTAGTAGAGACAGGGTTTCACAATGTTGGCCAGGCTGGTCTCGGACTCCTGACCTCAGGTGATCCATCCATCTTGGCCTCCCAAAGTTCTGGGATTATAGGCATGAGCCACTGCGCCCGGCCGGGGTGATCATTTTGAATGGATGAGGCTGACGGATTAGGAATAGAGCTAGCCCGGGCCCATTTGTCCTGTCACTGTCTGCGTTACACGAGGTTCCTTCTCTCACTTTTTTCCCCACTCGGCTACTGAAACAGGAATCTTTTTCAAATGAGTGTTTTGTATTTCTTGCCCTTTCGCATAGAGAAGGGTTGCCTGAGCAGTTTGATCAGGGCAGGAGAGGGATACTATGGGATGTTCTAGTTGAAGTGTATATATCTGCCTGTTGCTTATGATTCATGATATTCCTGCTGGAAGGGTTCATTTTTTCTGAGGCTTGAGGAGAAGTGCCTTGTCCAGGATTCTGTTTTTCCTTGGGTCCTTGGATTCTCATGCTGCTGTCATTTTTCCTGTTCAGTCCTAATCCAGACCTCTGTGGTCTGTCACATAGCACCCTCCTCCCTCTCTGTGAGTCTCCTGCTTGGCTCTGTCATATTCCTCTTTTTTTCCTTTTCTAGAAAGAAAAGTCAAAATCGAACAGTTCAGCAGCCCGAGAACCTAATGGCTTTCCCTCTGATGCCTCAGCCAATTCCTCTCTCCTTCTTGAATTCCAGGGTGAGTTGCATCTCTGTGTCTTCCTTGCAGGAGAACAAAAACTTGGATGAACGCATTAATAAGAAGAATTGGCCGGGTGCAGTGACTCACGCCTGTAACCCCAGCGCTTTGGGAGTCCGAGGTGGGCAGGTCACCTGAGATCAGGAGTTCAAGACGAGCCTGGCCAACATGGTGAAACCCAGTCTCTACTAAAAATACAACAAATTAGCTGAGCGTGGTGGCACGCGCCTGTAATCTCAGCTACTCACGGGGCTGAGACAGGAGAATCGCTTGATCCCAGGAGGTGGAGGTTGCAGTGAGCCGAGATCGCACCACTGCACTCCAGCCTGGGCTGCAGAGAGACTCCGTCTCAAAAAAAAAAAAAAAAAAGAATTCTGTGTATCAATTCAGCGCCTGCTTTTTCGCTGGTATTTTGCTAGGCACTTGACCTAAATCTTTTCATTTAAACTTCACGGTAACACTGCAAGATAGATAATGGTATCCTCGTTTTCCAGTGAAGGAAACTGAGGCTCAGAGAGGTTAAGTTACATGTCTGAAGTTACATAACTTGTAAGTGACAGACTCCGTGTCAGGTCCTGGTTGTCTGAATCAGAAGCTTTTTTTTTTTTTAGATTGTACTTCATTTTTTATTTTTTGTAGAGAGAGAGTCTGGCTATGTTGCCCAGGCTGGCCTTGAACTCCTGGCCTCAAGCAGTCCCCCAGCCTTGGCCTTCCAAGGTACAAGCAAGAGCCACTGCACCTGGCCTAGACTGTATGTTTTGTGATAGTGGCTTAGAGAAGGCTACCCAAAGCCGAAGCTTTTGCTTACCCACTGTTAGGACGTGTTCTGCCTCCTAAACTAATCCCGCTGGGTCAGCACTGTAGTCATGATACTGCCTTTTACGTTTACCTGCTAGGTACTGTCTACGAAGCACTTTTACTTTACTGTCTCATTTTTACCCATCTATCAGCCTGTGATATAAACCAGGCAGTTATTATCATCCCTATTTAAGGAAACAGATGCTCAGGGAGGAACGGGGTTTTGCTTAAGTTCAAAAGTGACAGCTTTATTCATTTGGTAACAAAATGCTACTTCCATTTTAGTGTGGGTATTAAAGGTCTTTGTAGGAGTCAAGACTAGCGTGAGTTTATGACTTTCTCTTCAAAACCAGATTTGAGCTAACCCAGCGTGTAGTTATCCCTTCCCCACCTCTTTCCCAGGCCCCACCAAGGTCAACCATATACTGTTGGAAAGGGAACACCGATGTGTGTTCAGTAGTCAGAAAGCTCTGGGAGACATATGAACCTCCATTTCCTCAGTCTGGCCACCATCTCCTCCTTTTCATTTAGTAAATACCATGAACTGTATGCAGGTACCGTGCGTTGCACTGGGGAATCAAGGACAAGTGAGCCACAGAGCCTGTCCACAGGGGCTCACGGGAGGACGCACGTGTGCAAAATGGTAAATGCAAGCGTGCACAGGCTATCATGGGAGAGTAAGAGAGGTTGGTCATTTCCACCCATGCGAGCCAGGGAGGCAGGGCTCTATGGAGGAAGTGATGTCAGGACTGTGTTGGGAGGTCTGGGGCTTTCCAGGACATGAGAAGGCAGCCTAGCCAAATATGAATAGCTAGGCAGAAACACCCGTACATGACGAAGCTTTTGGGTAAGGGTCCAGCCTGCCTGGAGCTGAGGATGCTTGTGGGAGAACAGCAGGCACTGAGGCCAGAGATCAGAAAGGACTTCCTATGTTGCAACAAGGCCAGCTCGTGCCTAGCCTAAGAAGTACTGGGTATGGCCGGGCGCGGTGGCTCAAGCCTGTAATCCCAGCACTTTGGGAGGCCGAGACGGGCGGATCACGAGATCAGGAGATCGAGACCATCCTGGCTAACATGGTGAAACCCCGTCTCTACTAAATACAAAAAAAAACTAGCTGGGCGAGGTGGCGGGCGCCTGTACTCCCAGCTACTCGGGAGGCTGAGGCAGGAGAATGGCGTGAACCCGGGAGGCGGGGCTTGCAGTGAGCTGAGATCCGGCCACTGCACTCCAGCCTGGGCGACAAAGTCAGACTCCGTCTCAAAACAAAAAAAAAAAAAAAAAAAAAAAAAAGTACTGGGTATGGCCGGGCATGGTGGCTCATGCCTGTAATCCCAGCACTTTGGGAGGCTGAGGTAGGCGGATCACCCGAGGTCAGCAGTTCGAGACCAGCCTGGCCAACATGGTGAAACCCCGTCTCTAATAAAAACACAAAATTATCTGGGCGTAGTGGCGCAAGCCTGTAATCCCAGCTACTCAGGACGCTGAGGCAGGAGAATCGGTTGAACCCGGGAGGCAGAGGTTGTGTTGAGCCAAGATCGCGCCATTGCACTCCAGCCTGGGCAACAAGAGCGAAATTTTGTTTCAAAAATAAAAAAGAATACTGGGTATGACATTTCTCCCTTAGGCAGCAGTGGAGCGTTGAAGGGTTTAGAAAGGTGTCTCTGGCAGTGGTTTGCAGTTCAGTTTAAGGTACATGAGACTGGAGGCAGGGCAGTGAGGTAGGTGGCTGTTGCAGGAGGCCAGGCTAGAGATGAGGAGGCTTGAACTGAAGCAGTAGAAGAGGAAGGAATGAGCATAAATGATACCAGAGCAGAAATACTTTGGTGACTGACTGCTGTAGGTGCAGCAGAGGAAGGCACTGGTGACTCTTTTTTTTTTTTTTTCAATTATTATTATTTTTATTTTTTGAGACGGAGTCTCGCTGTGTCACTCAGGCTGGAGTGCAGTGATGCAATCTCAGCTCATTGCAACCTCCACCTCCCGGGTTCAAGCGATTCTCCCACCTTAGCCTCCCAAGTAGCTGGAATTACAGGCGTGTGCCATCATGCCCGGCTAATTTTTGTATTTTCAGTAGAGACAGGGTTTTACCATGTTGGCCAGGCTGGTCTCGAACTTCTGACATCAAGTGATCAGCCCACCTTGGCCTCCCAAAGTGCTGGGATTACAGGTGTGAGCCACCGCACTCGGCCTAGTAACTCTTAAGTTTTGAAATTTGGTGATGACTAAGCCTTCAGGCAGAACTCCCAGATGCTAATCTATCAGTCCTTGGGGCAGTCAGGCAGCTGAAGCCTGAGCTCACCACCTTCAGAGACCACCAGCCTCCTTCAGATGCCCAAGGGTGCCTGACAAATGTCATTTTCTACACATCTTGTGATGTGAGAAGGATTGAGAAGTACTGACCAGAGACACAGCTACACCCCTCCCTTCCACAAGCTGGAATCAGTGGATAATAAAGAAGTGTTTAATAAGCATATCCTGACCTTCCCGAAGTGTAATGTTGCATAAACATAAAGATTCTGGCTGCCTCTGGTACTTATAATCTATGTCGTGTAGGCCGGGCAGACTGATTATTATGCTCAGTTGTATCCTTGACTGCCTAAAGTGATGCCAGGCCCTTGGCTCTGTCCAGAGTTCCTCTTGAGGAGAATGACCACACTCAGCTGCTGCCTTTGTTCTGTTTGGTTTTCAGATGAAAACAGCAACCAGAGTTCCGTGTCTGACGTCTATCAGCTGAAGGTGGATAGCAGCACCAACTCAAGCCCCAGCCCCCAGCAGAGTGAGTCCCTGAGCCCAGCACACACCTCCGACTTCCGCACGGATGACTCCCAGCCCCCAACCCTGGGCCAGGAGATCCTGGAGGGTGAGTCGTGGTTGGCCCAGGATGAGTTTCCTAGAAGGGCCTTGCTTCCTGCTCTTGTTGCGTCTCATCTTTAGAGTAACAGGCTCGAGAGAGTACCTCAGAGCCAGGCGGCACCAAGCCCTTTCTCACCAGCTTGGGATATTTTGAGGAATGATTATATTTTCCCCTTTCACAGAGTGAAGGGAGAAAACAAGCCTTAGAGTTGAGTGCCAGGCTCTGTGGAAGGAACTTGGGTATTTGACACCTGGTATAATTCTCTTAAAAATCCTGTGAGGTGGCAGCTATTGTCTTCTTTTACAGATGAGGAAAATGAACATTCAAGGCTTAGAAAGGTTAAATTGGGCCAGGCACGGTGGCTCACACCTGTAATCCCAGCACTTTGGGAAGTCTAGGTGAGCGGGTCACTTGAGGCCAGGAGTTCAAGACCAGCCTGACCAACATGACAAAACCCTGTCTCTGCTAAAAACATAAAAAATTTAGTTGGGCATGGTGGCACGTGCCTGTAATCCCAGCTGCTCCAGAGACTGAGGCAGAAAAATCGCTTGAACCTAAGAGGCAGAGGTTGCAGTGAGCTGGGATCACACCAGTGCATTCTTGTCTGGGCAACAGAGTGAGACTCCATCTCAAAAAAA